GGAGGGCAAAATGGGGCATGAAAACGTAGAGGCTAATTATGAGTGTTTTTTGGTAAAAATTACTTATATTTGAGGTAAAATATGGCTCCAGCAGGAGTTGAAATCACATCAATTCAAAAGAAATAATTGAAGGACAAAATGGGAATGCCCCAATTGAAAAATACCTCAAAATTGCGTTGATTGACTTTGATTATAAATAGTATGAAATTAATTAAAATGTATACTTATATGTTACGTATTTTTTCGATACATAATCGAAGTCGTCTCAGGGTGTTTTGACCAAATTCGCGGAATTTCGACAAGAAAAAATTGAAAATAAAATGGGTCCAGGACGAAACCAACTTGTTTGACAACTCAAAATACTTGTTTTGATGACAAGAATTAATGAAAAAAATACGAGAAAAATAAAACGTAACATAATTTTGAAAATTCAAATTTTTCAACTTTTTTTTTTAATTCGTTATTATGAGCACCTAGGGATTGCAAAAAAAAATACTCAAAATATTCTTATAGATAGTAGAAAATGGAAAATTTTTATGAGTTATAAATGAAAATTCAATGATTAGAACTCAACTTATTGAAAAATGAAGAAAAAATCATATCTCTGAAATGGATTGTCGAAAAAATCTGAAAAAAATTGAGAGATAGTTTTTAATTAACTCATCTGGTAGTTATTTCATACTTTTCTCGCAAATTCATTATCATTTCAATTTTTGCGAAAATTTTGAGGCGCCCCATTTTGCTCACCCTGCCCCGTTTTGCCCTACCCTCACCTACATTCTCGTGACAGTGACACAGTGGCGATCCCGATAACTACAATTTCTCCCGCCTTTTTAACCGCGTTCAGCGTTTACCTAGCCTACAACCCGTCAAGCAACACAAATATCTAGATAAATTGTTTTCATTAAACCCCTAATAATAGCATTTTTTTAAATAAAATCCGGTAATTCCCAAATTGGGCAAAATGGCGGGGAAGAAGCCACGAGACTATGCGAAAGACAGAGGTGAGTGCATTTGTATGTAAATTACCGAAGTCTAGACAGTCCTTTCATGACCATTCTTCACTATTTCAGATCAACTGAAAACATTTTTTGAAGAATTTGTAACGATTGATGACAAAACTGGCAACAAGTGCTTCAGATACAGAGAGCAGCTGACGAATATTGCGCACAGAGAGCAGATTGCATTTAACATAAATTTGGATGATGTACGAGAGTTTGATGATGAATTGGCTGAGGCCATTGTCAATAACACAAGGAGATACGTGAATTTAGTCACTGAGGTTGGTGAAAAAATCACTACAGTAGAGGCTTCGTACACTGACGAAAACGAAGGATTTTGAGAAATCTGTCTGTATTTATATCTATCAATTTTTATTATATAGACTCCAGGTTAAAAACCCATCGGAGCCTGCTGAGCAAACAAAAATACAACACCGTTACAATGCATAGGGGAGGTTGGGGTAAAATGGACACTTTTGACTTTTTTTCAAATGTTAATAACAGCTTGAAATGTTGATGAAATTCAATAGTTTTTTTTTCAATGCAACGAACATTTCTTTCCCTTTGTAATGAGCCTAAACTGAGCTCAATTCATAAATTTGTTTCTGAGTTATAAATTATTTTTAAAAAGTCTCAAGTGTCCATTTTACCCCACCCTCCCCTATAATAATTCAGAACATATTATGATAGTCTCATTCAAGTCTTCCTGTATGTATCACTGCACTTTCATTGTTTATATACAACATCACATGCTAAACACCAAATTTGGCGAAAGGAATAACAAAAACAATAAGCATCAAAGTTAAGTAAACTTCTGCATTTCAAAAATGGCCTCTCCGGGCTTCTCTTTTCATATCGATGTATAACCTGAACACTGAACCACACATTACTCAGCAGCAGCAGCCTCCACGCCCGAAAAATTTCAATAGAAAAGGCTTTCGAATTCGTTAGAAAATTCTATTGAATTTCTATTAAACTTTCTATTAGTTTTTGGCTGATTCTATTGACGTTCAATAGAAAAAGTCAACAGAATTCGATTTTTCTATATAATTTTTCTTATAATTTCTGTATAATATCTTATACGAAGCCTCTACTGTTCTGTGACGATTTACGTAAAATGAATTTGCCTCATGATTTGACTGCAAAGGTTTTTGAGAAATCTGTCTGTATTTATATCTATCTATCAATTTTTATTATATAGACTCCAGGTTAAAAACCCATCGGAGCCTGCTGAGCAAACAAAAATACAACACCGTTACAATGCATAGGGGAGGTTGGGGTAAAATGGACACTTTTGACTTTTTTTCAAATGTTAATAACAGCTTGAAATGTTGATGAAATTCAATAGTTTTTTTTTCAATGCAACGAACATTTCTTTCCCTTTGTAATGAGCCTAAACTGAGCTCAATTCATAAATTTGTTTCTGAGTTATAAATTATTTTTAAAAAGTCTCAAGTGTCCATTTTACCCCACCCTCCCCTATACTAATTCAGAACATATTATGATAGTCTCATTCAAGTCTTCCTGTATGTATCACTGCACTTTCATTGTTTATATACAACATCACATGCTAAACACCAAATTTGGCGAAAGGAATAACAAAAACAATAAGCATCAAAGTTAAGTAAACTTCTGCATTTCAAAAATGGCCTCTCCGGGCTTCTCTTTTCATATCGATGTATAACCTGAACACTGAACCACACATTACTCAGCAGCAGCAGCCCCCACGCCCGAAAAATTTCAATAGAAAAAGCTTTTGAATTCGTTAGAAAATTCTATTGAATTTCTATTAAACTTTCTACTAGTTTTTGGCTGATTCTATTGACGTTCAATAGAAAAAGTCAACAGAATTCGATTTTTCTATATAATTTTTCTTATAATTTCTGTATAATATCTTATACGAAGCCTCTACTGTTCTGTGACGATTTACATAAAATGAATTTGCCTCATGATTTGACTGCAGCTCGTTCAGGAGATCCTTCCGGACTTTAAGGAGCGGACAGTGCCCCCAAAAGACGCGCTAGACATTTACATCGAGCACCGCCTGCTGATGGAGGCCAGGACCCGTCACCCAGGTGACCAGCGAGACCCTCGCAATCAGTACGCCCCCGAGTTGATGCGAAGATTCGAGGTGTACTTCGAAAATTTCAACGACGCAAAACAGGTCTCCGTGCGAGAAATGAAAGCAGTCAATATCGGAAAACTAACAACAGTCCGAGGAATTGTGACGAGATGTACAGAGGTAAAACCCATGATGGTGTGTGCCACCTACACATGTGACCAGTGCGGAGCGGAGACATACCAAACAATTCAATCCCTGAGCTTCAAACCCCTCGACACCTGCGTCAGCGACGACTGCAAAGTCAACAAATCAGGGGGTAGACTCTACATACAGACGAAGGGCTCGAAATTCGTCAAATTCCAAGAGCTCAAACTGCAGGAGCACAGTGACCAGGTGCCAGTGGGCCACATACCCAGGACCCTGACAGTCTACTGCCGAGGGGAAACCACGAGAAATTGCCTTCCAGGCGATCACATAATAGTCACTGGAATATTCCTTCCACTTGCCAAAACGGGATTCAATCCGAGCGCTGGTGGAGGTCTCCTGAGTGAAACATTCCTCGAAGCCCACCAATTGACTCCACTGACAAACCTCGTCAGCGTCGACGACACCAGCCAACAACTCACCCAGGAGGAGCTTGAGGCTCTAACAGGTGATGATTTTTATTCGAAATTGGCTACATCAATAGCACCTGAAATCTACGGACTGGAAGACGTGAAGAAAGCTCTTCTGCTGCTATTGGTGGGTGGGACAGACAAGAAAAAAGGAGATATCAAAATTCGTGGCAATTTGAATATTTGCCTGATGGGAGATCCTGGTGTGGCTAAATCTCAATTATTGGGATTCATCACTCGTCTGGCGCCACGATCGCAGTACACAACTGGGAGGGGCTCGTCGGGGGTTGGTTTGACAGCATCAGTCTTGAAAGATCCACTGACTGGGCAAATGATGCTGGAGGGAGGGGCTCTCGTCCTGGCAGATCAGGGCGTCTGCTGCATCGACGAATTTGACAAGATGCAGGACGCCGACAGAACAGCTATTCACGAAGTTATGGAGCAGCAGACAATATCCATTGCTAAGGCTGGGATAATGACACGTCTCAATGCCAGGGTTTCCATATTAGCAGCAGCCAATCCGGCCTTTGGCAAATACAACGCTAAACGGACGATAGAACAGAATATTCAGCTGCCAGCTGCCTTACTCTCGAGGTTTGATCTCCTCTGGCTGATTCAGGATCGTGCTGATCGTGATAATGATCTTCGCTTGGCTCAGCACATCACCACTGTTCATCGCACTGGCACTCAACCCTCAACCGAGACAACGGCTATTGATATGAATCTCATGAGGAGGTACATTGCACTTTGCAAGACAATTGATCCAGCCATCAGTCCGGACATCACTGAATACATCGTCGAGTCTTACGTTGATATGCGAAGAGAATCGAGGAACAGGCACGATAAGACTTTCACGTCCGCACGTAATTTACTTGCTGTTATACGCTTGGCTACAGCACTTGCACGGTTACGGCTATCGCCGACTGTTGAGAAGGAGGATGTTGCTGAGGCTAATCGGCTCGTTGAGATGTCCAAGTACTCGATTAATTGTTCAGATGTGCAGGTGGGGGGCAATCAGCAGAGCACTGCCAATCGAATATTCCAAGTTATTCGGGAATTGGCTGGCGATTTGAAAACTGTCAAGGTCCCGGACATTCTGCAGAGGTGCACCAGTAAGGGCTTCAAGCCTGATGAGATTGATAATTGCATTGAGGAGTATGAGGAACTCAATGTGTGGCAGGTAAATCAAGCCCGCACCAAGGTCACCTTCCTCTAATTCACAATTTATCGATTTTTTATTTTTGTTCGTATTAATATTATTTCATACAATAAACGGTTTTTTGTATATTATGTGGTATCTGTGATATTTTTTAATACTGTGGTGAAGAGAAATTGGTGGAAAATGGTGACAACTTTTTTTGAAAATTTAGGAATTTTTTTTTATTGAGAAGGGATGGAGATTCTCATTGAGAGTCAGTTGGAGATACCTTGAGATCCGTCAAAACTTCAATTGAACGTCAAAATTTTTCATTTTTTACTGCCTATAAGAATATTTTTAGTGAAGATTTTTTTTCGATCTTTAGGTGATCAAAATAACGAATTTTCGAGGAAAAAGTTGAAAAAGTTAAATTTTGCAAATTATGTCACTTGATTTGTTTCATTTTTTTTAGTAACTCAATCAAAACAAGTATTTTGAGCAGTCGTACAAGTTGCGGATCCTCCCGGATCTATTTTATTTTCAATTTTTTCTTTTCGAAATTCTGAAAATTGGTCAAAACACCCAAAATGGCAATGATTGACTTTGATTATAGACAGTATGAAGTGAATTTGACTGTATACCTATATATTACATATTTTTTCGACACATAGGGAAAGTTGGGGTAAAATGGACACTTGACTTTTTTTCAAAAGTTAATAACAGCTTGAAATATTGATGAAATTCAATAGTTTTCTTTTCAATGCAACGAACATTTCTTTCCCTTTGTAATGAGCCTAAACTGAGCTCAATTGATGAATTTGTTTCTGAGTTATGAGTAATTTAAAAAAAGTCCAAAGTGTCCATTTTACCCCATCCTCCCCTAATCGAAGTCATTTGGGGTGTTTTGACCAAATTTGCGAAATTTCGAAAAGAAAATTTTTCGTGACGAGCCTAAACTGAGCTCAATTGATCAATTTGTTTCTGAGTCATGAATAATTTTAAAAAAGTCTAGTGTCCGTTTTACCCCATCCTCCCCTATAATCAACATCATCAACAATCATCATCACGCAGTGATTTCCCGTACTCTCGTTCCGACATTCAGAAATAAACGCGTGAACTGTGACACCACCACTTTATATAAGAAGTGCCCAGTCAGTGGCGCCATCATGCAACCTCTCTCTCTCTCTCACCCCTCCCCGCCAATAGAAAAAGTGCTACAGTGCTGCTGCTGCAGTGCACAGTCGCAGATTCGTCCGAGTCCGCCGGATTGAAACCCATTCGGTTGTGCGCCGGCAGTCTCTCTCACATAATCTCACCCCCAAGAGCAGCTTCCACACAATCCACCCCCTCTCTCTCTGTGTGATGTGCCCAGTGATCACAATTACGTCGAATGAATCAGTGAATTAACACGCCATCGGAGATTTTATTCTCGTAAATGACACTTGAGACACTCTCCTCCCTATTAAATGTACAAACACACCTCTCACGACGTTGCCCATCGTAACAGACGAAAAATTATTATCGCGGCAATGTGAACAAGCCAATTGTTGATTAACAAATAATCCAAATGTTGGTTAAACGCGACGGCATTATTTATTGGTGGGATTTATTTTAACTTTGTTGTGTTAATTAATTTGAGAGCTTCAAGTTATTTATTTTTCTTTATTAATTCATTCACATTTTCAAAGTTGAGTTTATAAAGAGGGAGAGATTAAAGATAATAGATTAAAATGCGTCTTCCAGTCGCAGTGTTTTTGTGCCTGTGCATTAATGGTGTAATTTGCCGATCAACAAGGTCCACGATGGATCGTCACAGTGGTGATAATGCCACTGCTGGCAATTGCGAAATCGTCAGGCCCTTTTTCGAGAGCAAAAATATCACAATTGATTTTTCAAGCATCAGCAAAGAGGACATAACTGCAAGTAAGGAGCCAATTGTCATTTTTATTTACCCCCATTTTACAGAAAATAATAAAATCCACTGTACCCTGTCATTTGCTCGACAATTACGAGTCTTCAATCGATATAATGCATTTATCTTGTTCAACGAAGGAACTTTATCGCACCCAGTATTGAATCTATCGATTATCGATTTCCTTTAACGTGAAATTAATTTTTCCCCCGAAGCTGATTTTCCAATCATGCCAATCTCCGATTGAATAAAAAGGCTTATCAGTACGTACATGAGAATGATGCGAGACGAGGTGGAAGAGGGGAAGGATTAAATATCGCATTGAGAGTGTGAATTTGAGTTGGTTGAATGTAAAAAGGAGAGAGAATGAGAAAAAAAGGATCAACCTCTTGAACCTTTATTCTTAACCTACGATACGCTGTTGGCGGCGCGTGCCGAATAATAATCTCTGGCTTTCGTCTGAGACGTGTCGAGAGATCTTGTAACCGGATCTAATCGTAATCATCTCTTTTTTCCCTCCTGTGTCATCAGCATTTGCCCATTGAGGATGTTCTATTCAACGCGTATCCGTTTGGCTTTGTCTCGCGAAAATAACAATTGAATTATGGTTACGTAATAATGAGGACAAGATGTTGAATGTCGAATGAGAGTTGTGCTTAGTCGATCAAACCACATCTTCGCGCATTGGCTACACACTGGATGCTTGTCGTGGCAACCGAGCCGTCTAATCTCCCCCATACCAGTCGTTTAGTGCTTTCTCCACACAGCTGACACGCTCATTCAGACTGATTAAACTATTCTTAACAGATCGTGTGAGAATCGATGGAGAGCGAGAGAGAGAGAGAAAGAGACCAATTAAGAAATCAATGGAGCATAACTCAAGCATATTATTATTCCGTTCAGTAATTTTTCTCGTGATGCCGCGAGACGTGACAGAAACGAGACGAGACAAATGAGACGAGACAAGACAAGGAGACGAGAGACATGAGACGAGACGAGAAGAGTTATTCGAGACAATGACAGAAACGAGACGAGACGAGACAAACGATACAAGACGAGACAAGACAAACTAGACGAGACAAAGCAGGCGAGGGACACGACGAGACGTGACGAGAAGAGTTATTCGAGACAATGACAGAAACGAGACAAGAAGAGTCATTCGAGACAATGACAGAAACGAGACGAGACGAGACAAACGATACAAGACGAGACAAGACAAACTAGACGAGACAAAGCAGGCGAGAGACACGACGAGACGAGACGAGAAGAGTTATTCGAGACAATGACAGAAACGAGACAAGAGGAGTTATTCGAGACAATGACAGAAACGAGACAAGAAGAGTCATTCGAGACAATGACAGAAACAAGACGAGACAAGACAAACTAGACGAGACAAAGCAGACGAGAGACACGACGAGACGAGACGAGAAGAGTTATTCGAGACAATGACAAAAACGAGACAAGAATAGTTATTCGAGAGAATGATAGAAACGAGACAAGAAGAGTCATTCGAGACAATGACAGAAACAAGACGAGACAAGACAAACTAGACGAGACAAAGCAGACGAGAGACACGACGAGACGAGACGAGAAGAGTTATTCGAGACAATGACAAAAACGAGACAAGAATAGTTATTCGAGAGAATGATAGAAACGAGACAAGAAGAGTCATTCGAGACAATGACAGAAACAAGACGAGACAAGACAAACTAGACGAGACAAAGCAGACGAGAGACACGACGAGACGAGACGAGAAGAGTTATTCGAGACAATGACAAAAACGAGACAAGAATAGTTATTCGAGAGAATGATAGAAACGAGACAAGAAGAGTCATTCGAGACAATGACAGAAACAAGACGAGACAAGACAAACTAGACGAGACAAAGCAGACGAGAGACACGACGAGACGAGACGAGAAGAGTTATTCGAGACAATGACAAAAACGAGACAAGAATAGTTATTCGAGAGAATGATAGAAACGAGACAAGAAGAGTCATTCGAGACAATGACAGAAACGGGACAAGAAGAGACAAACGACACAAGACGAGACAAACGAGACGAGAGTCGAGAGTCTTCTCCTCTGTGTATTTTTTCTCCGTGAAAATTGGATTGGACGAGACACAACGAGACGACTCGAGAGAATCTCTCAATTCTCAACGAGACGAGAGAAGAAACTGCTCTCGTACTTGAAGATGACAAGAGAAGATGTAGTTTCTCGTCTCGTTTCGTCTCGTCTTGTCTCGCGGCATCACCGAGTTTTTCACTCACTGCAATGGGGCAATATTTTAATCCAAATATATTGGCAAAAATTTTCGACAAAGGACGAAATAAAAAGCTGAAAAAAATAGTGTAAAGGAGTGAAAAAAATCAATGGCTGACTGGACAGCCACGCTATTCGCATATGCATAGGATAATAGATAGTGGATGAGAGCCCTCGCGGGTTAGAAACGCTTCCGGGTATGTCTATGTATATGTCTGGATAGATATACGAGTAGTGTGGAACAACAGGAGAGCAGCAACAAACTCTGGGGTATGGGATACAGCTCGGATTCAAAGCGCATAGCGTGTATCATTATACCCCCACCTCGCAGTATATAATAAAGCATTGCAGAAGTGAGTAGTTGGGCGCGCACATCCCTCCAATACTATATGGCCAGATATACTGTACATAAAACTGATCAGAGGCCGAATCAGGGAGAACATTGAAAGAGACGTAACGAGAAATATGCTCTTGTGTGGAGTATGGCCCGAGGACGAGGTCACACTGCCAGTTTCCGTACGACCTCTTCTGTAATCTGTATTTGCTCTCTCTCGGACTCGCGGATACTATACTATTTGTATACCCTCTACCTCTACTCCGCGCAGTTTGATATCCCATGGGAGAGTGCTAGGTGGTAGTTGCTATGAGCACACCTGCAAACTCCGTGACAATGGATTAGCCTCCGATATGGCAACAAAATTCAGCCTCGCCGGTATTATTTTTTGAATCAACATATCATTCTCCAGTTTTGAAAATTTATTGTTTAAAGAAGCTCTGCCCTTCGGCCGGGCTACGCTGTACTTCTGGATATTTTCAGTTTTATCATTTTTTAACTGAATTGCGCGGAAAAAATTTGAAAAAATTCAGACCTAGTCAGGAGTATCTAAATTAAATTTGGCAAAATATTGATATTTTTTCCAACGTTTTCCTATTATAAATAAATAATAAAACTTGTTTGCGAAACGGTGGATTATTTTTTATGAGGTGTCAACAAAATTCAGATTTTAATCTTTGATTACAATGGAAATGTTGATTTTCACATAAGACAATGGGTTAAATCCTGATTTTTAAACATTTCTTCTTTGAAAAATCAGAACGATAATTAAATTGAGGAAAAAATTTGAATTCCGAGTCTAATTCAGTTTTCTGCAATTTTTTTGCAGTTTTCAATAAGCTTTGAATTTACCGAAAGGGTAGAGCTGCTTTAAATTCTCGTTGTTATGAGGTTGAATTCAATTTCAAATGAAACTGTGCGCTAAATTTGTCATTCATCTTGAAAATTCAAAAAAATTGGGTTTCTCGTGTTGAATAATCATTGATTTTTTAATGGAAGTTTGAATTTCCAAACTCATTGGAAAATTGAACATCACATACAAGTCAATTGTAAATAGATTAAGAATTCAGAGAAGTTGTTGCCTGAATTTTCAAAATTTCCAGGGTTTTTCTGTGCCGCATGGACCTGAAAATCGACAATTACTTCAATATTCACGAAATTAATTGATTCGTTAATGGAGAAAGGGACAGAAATTTCATGTGACTTTGTCGTTGTTAAAAATTTCAAGCTTTTTAACTTGAAATTTCAAGAGTAATTTTCTGAGTGTCTCATTTTTCTCCGATTTGTTATCCCTATATTTAACTTGTCCTTCCTCGCTGGATTTATTTATTTATTTTCAGGCACGTGCGGTGGATCGTGCTGCAATCGTCAGTCCGAGGATCAACTTCGACAACAGGCAAGAGCGGATTTTCACAATTTAATACACCACCACAGCCGCAGTCTCCAGGGCCTTTTAGCAACAACGGCTGATGCCTTGAGGGGTGAGTTGACAGCATTAAATTTCCCTGTCTCAGTGGTGATAGTGTGATTTTTGTTGGCATTATCAAGTGGTCTCGTCACTCTCGCGTCCTTCAGGAATACCCGATTTAAGGTGTTTCGTCTGTAGATCACCGGGGGGTGAAACGGAAGTCGAGTCTCATTGTTCTCGAGCCCTGATTCAATCGCTGAGCACGAAATTTTCCAATTTTCAAGTAACTATTTAAGTGGGCATTTGAACATTTTTTGAATATTGATTTTATTTATCAGATTGATTGATTTTTTTCTCATCACCTACGGCTGTCAAATAATTTTTATTGGATGTTATTCTAATTATTGAAATAATATTAAAATGCGTCTCGAGTTGGTAAACCTGTCGAGTGTTTTCTCTCTCTCAGTTCCATGGTCCAACCCATAGCTTTCCCATGATGCTCACTGACATTCGAATCACGCGCCTGCGCGTGAGGGCGTAATTGCCCCGAAACTCATAATTTTCCGAATCATTTGTTCAAATAACTTTCTTATGAAATCGGAAAAAAATCTGAAACTTATACGTGTTCTCAAGAAAGATTTGATTTATCAGCCACTAGTTTTTCCTCAATAGTTCATTATTTTTGTGGCTGCCATGGAAATTTCCCTAATCGAGAGTGGGGTAGCCTCGGAGGTTATAGCTGGAGGGCTTCCAAAAACATCCAAATTTCATTATTTTTTTTCTCGAAACTGATATCTGAAAAAATGTGCAAAAATTCTCAATGATGCAGCAAACTTAGAAATTTCTCCCCTGAATTTTCCAATTTTTTTTCATTACTTTGACTTTTCAACCGAAACACCTTAATTCGAGTGAATTTTTCGTTTGCAAGAGGTAGGGATGGTGGTATGCCTGTTGAACGAAAGACAGTACGAAGATATAAAAGAGAAAAATGCGGTTGAGCGTGCCTATGGAACGCCGATGTTTAAAACGAATATAAAAGAGAGACAGGACGAGACCAGTTTGGGATGCATGTGCGTCGACGCCTGCCTGTTATGTACTGGTAAAAGTAGCCGATGGTACACCGTGCACCGGGGCGAAGCCCCAAACGCCCGAATAGCCTGAGAGAGAAAGAGAGAGGGCGAGAGAGCGAGATGAAGGAAGACGAGTCGCGAAAGAAAGACGACGGTTTTCGCTTTCTCGCCCGCTTCCACACCGCTCTTATATTTGCCGTATAAGGCCACATCGCACAATGCCAATGAGGCCTGGCGCAATGCTATCGCGCACGCCCGCAACCATTCCATTCCCTTGCTGTAGATATGTACGTGAGAATACTCCTCCCTCGTGTCTTCTTACACACACAGCATCCCTCGCGGATTTGGGTATTGAGCATGGCAATTAAGGATGTTTATCCAAAATCGCGAGTACTTGAAAAAAATTGATTTTTTTAACACTGATAGATGAAGATATTTCCTTCACTTTGATACAAACTTGATACAAATTTCAATCCACCAAGCCATGTTCATTATTTAGAAATGAAATAGACAAAATGCAGCAAATGCATGCGCTAACGTGCGCTTATGTGGGATAGAATCATTCAAATATTTCCTCTTTTTGCCCGGCTACCCCAGATTTTTCTCTGGCCATTGGATTCAGTATGATTTTACACATTACCTTCTATTTTTATTTCTATTTTTAGAGTCTTCTAGTAGGTGAATTATCAATTTGAACATAAATTTCATAAGATCCCGTTCATAAAGAAAACCTTGTTCATTCATTTCTGCCGAGACTATTGAGATTAAGGATGTTTATCCAAAATCGCAAGTACTTAAAAAAAATTGATTTTTTTTAAACTGAGAGATGAAGATATTCCCTTCACTTTGATATAAATTTCAATCCACCAACCTATTTTCATTATTTAGAAGTGAAATAGACAAAATGCAGCAAATGCATGCGCTAACGTGCGCTTATGGGGATAGAATCATTCAAATATTTCCTCTTTTTGCCCGGCTACCCCAGATTTTTCTCTGGCCACTGGATTCAGTATGATTTTACACATTACCTTCTATTTTTATTTCTATTTTTAGAGTCTTCTAGTAGGCGCATTATCAATTCGAACATAAATTTCATAAGACCCCGCGTATAAGGAAAAATTGGTTTATTCATTTCTGGCGAGACTATTGCGATTAATTTTTTTTAACGATAGAACAGTTAGTTTTATATGTTCTGCTGTCAGCCGGAAAAATTCCAGAATTTTCCTTGACCAGTAAAAAACACATTTACCGACAATTTACCGACACTGACTGAACATCCTTAAGGGAGACTACTAGGAGTTAAAAGTCGCGGGCTATTCGAGTGAGATTTCTCGTGCATTGAAGATCGCCTATATCTGTCTAAAAACGAATAATTGGTGCAAAATTAATTAATTAACAAAATTAATTGAACATGGATCATATGTAAAACGTTAAAAATTCAATTTTTGAGCTACAGAAGCTTTTTTCAAAATTTTTGAAAAGATGTGTACAATAACAATTACGAATTATTTATTTTGGTATTCCACTCCTACACACCTACCTTCGTTTTGTTTAATATAAAAAGTTGCGTCATTTTTGCAAAATCCGCAGAAAAATTCTCCTCAAAATATCTAAATTATATTCTCGATTCTTCCAGAAACATTTTGCGAGCTACTTCACATGAATAGTGCAATTTTTTTATTAAAGAAATTTCAAAATCCTCGGTGTCTGCGGGGCAAACGAACAATAAACAATTAATTTTTTTGCACTAATTATTAGTTTTTAGATACACATAATCCATCTTCAATACATGAGAAATTTTATTCCAATAGCCCGCGACTTTCAAAGCTCACAGTACCCTCCGCTTGAGCTGATTGCCCTCAACTCAATTTTATTTCATTCTATTTTATTTTTCTCTTTGCCTTTTCATTTTTACCAATGAAATACTGCACACTTGGTATGCATGGAATGCTCGATGTATGTGCATATTTGCACAGCCAAGTCAATTGCACTACGTGATCCAGAGGATCAATTAGGTAAAACGTCAACAGCAATCATATCACTCCCTAATATACATTTATTTGCTCAACGCCTTTTTACGACGAATTCGCTCCCAAGGAAATTGAACAGAGAGGAGGAATTTCTATGCCTCAAACGCCCACTCGTGGGGCATTGTACGTGGAATCTTGAATCGTGGAAGAACCTATACCTTGCAATTTCAAACGCCTGTATAAGTACGTAGGAAACTACCAGTTGGAGATCCACATGCAATCTCGACTCGACAAATCGACGGTTCAATTCGAGGACAAACGTGTGCTGAATTCGTGTCCCAACTGCATTAAATTTCCCCTCATGCATTTACATTCTCTCGATTTTCGGGCTAATTCATTGAATCAAACGTTCTATCATAATCTGCCATCAGCATGAATTAGTATCTGTCTCTCGTCGCACATTTATTCGTCATGTTTTTGTCGTTTTTCCCTCCCATCTTTTGATACAAAGAAAATGGTTCATTAATGACCGATGGTATCAGCGATTTGATTCGAAACGTGCAATGAAATATACGCGTTGCATACAGAGTGTGCATTTTCCTCTGGCTCTCCTCTACGCTGCATACTCACACGAGTGATTAATATATAAATGAGGATAATGTGAGATACATTTATTCCAACGCCGCAACTGTTGAATGTCTCATTGTTGCCTGCAATGTTTTTTTTTTGTAATAAAAAATTACGCTCTGCGCGGGTATATACTACTCCATGGGGCTTGATGTGTGTCAATTGTAGTTAACATAATTGGAGAAATATGTATTCATCCATCCGACGAAATTTCAAAAGTTCACTTTTCGTCACAGCGTGATGAAATAGTATATTTCGATACAAGTGCGGAAAAGTGTTTTTTGGCTCGTGGGGGGTTTATAGCACGAGCCGAAGGCGAGTGATGTGATCCTACGAGCCGGAAAACACTTTTCCCACGAGTATCGAACGATTTTTTTCATCACAATGCGTGGGAAAGGGATTTTTAGGCAAAAGTTCACTTTTCGTCACAGCGTGATGAAAATGTAATGACACAATGCGCCGAACAGATTGGCTTCAAAAAACGTTCCACTGGATTTTTTCCAATAGAAAAAAAATTCTTCACCGTCGTAAATGAATCCCTTTTTTATACATTTGTAGTGGCTGAAAGCAGTCTTAAAGTGTTGGTAGAAATGTTAAACTGGGTCGCCACTGCCGGTTTGCTATTTTTGATGCATTCAGGTGTTCCCCATGAAAGATAAAGATAATATTATTTATGCGGCCACAGTACAGTTGATAGTTTACGAAGATCGAACGCGTTGAAAAAGTTTTGCACGCGATATCTTCAGTATTCTCTTGTTGTGTTATAGAATAGAGCACACTGGCTTTATCCGGCAGTGAGACTCTATCAGTCGAGACTCAGTTGCCGGGGGCATTCACATTTTGATGGTTTATACTCGAAACCTGAGCTTCTTTCCACCCCTCCCCAATGTTTTGCATTTATGTGTATTATGACGCCCAATGACGATACGCAGAGTAGACACAATTACGCGGTATATAGCAGCCGCTGGATTCTAAATAAATACGGATTAATCATCGGTGTAATGGAGTCACGCAAACATGTGATTTCATCGTAACATCTCGAATAACTGTATGCATATGAATTAACAAGTGTTCATCCATCAATATCGTATTTCTGTACACCTGCATCGCAATCTTAAAGCACTTCCGCAGTAACTATACTTGGGGAAAATTTCGAAATGGTATAATGACGCAATATTTGGGTCATATGTTGTTGACCACATTGAAAAGATATTCCCAAAATTTCAAGTCCCTGGTCCACCCCATTTTTGAGATATGCATCGCCAAACATTCAATTTTTGTGTTTTTTCCATTTTTGACGATGTATATCTCGAAAATGGGGTGGACAAGGTACTTGAAATTTTGGGAATATCTTTTCAATGTGGTCAACAACATATGACCCAAATATTGCGTCATTATACCATTTCGAAATTTTCACCAAGTATATTTACTGCGGAAGTTCCTTAACTGAAGAATTTTAATGCTCGTTTGAACAAGAAGAAGAAGAAGAAGAAGAAGAAGAAGAAAGAGCAGAAGCAGAAGAAAGGTCGAAGGTTGAAAAGCAAATAGACCCAACGAAGCAAAGAGTGAGGGTTTTAGCGCGTGTCGTTACCACGACAACCTGGCCAAGTTCCTCTTTTGCTCTGTGACCTGTCTCTCGTGTATGCATTATACTGCACAGCATGTATTTAGCTTTGGTTTATTTTTACAACTGCGGAAAAGGGTATTTTTATATTACCCACCGAGCCGCGGAATTTGATCACTCATACGCCATCTCTTTTTCTCTNAAAAAAAAAAAAAAAAAAAAAAAAAAAAAAAAAAAAAAAAAAAAAAAAAAAAATCTTTCATTTGACAAAATTGTACCTCTTTGTCCAGTGAGTACAGATGCTCCCACTTGTACTGCCTCACTTTCCGTTTCTTCGAGAGTATACTTGTAGCCAAGTGGTACCACTTGTGGCTAATTGATTGTAATCGATATTGAAAGAGAATGGATACAGAAAAAAAGAGAAAGAAACTAATGCCAACGACCACACAATGTACAATCAGCCGGTCGCCTCTTTTTTCATCGCTTTAAAAAGTATAATTATTTGTGCGAACTGGAGATGCGAGGTGACGTCACGAATGAAAAACCGTCAGGTCACGAAAATATGGCCGTCATTGACAGTTATAAATCATCGATTACAGTGGGAGTTTCACAAAATTAATAACAATAGGAAATAATATAATCTCAGCAAGAATAAACGCTCATATGCATGTTTACTCAGCTCACAGTGCAATCAGAGGATCAGAATGGGTGTACTTAAGTACAGACTATATAAGGTCATACAAAAATTCAACAAATCTATTCGGTCAAAGCGAAGGCTCGCGGATTACAGTTCTCGATACTAAAATAAAAGATTGCTTTAATTGCCCTGATATCCCTGAGTCCCAAAAGTTTTGTGATCGGGGGTTTTTNTTTTTTTTTTTTTTTTTTTTTTTTTTTTCTTATAAACATGTTGTCTCAGGAGGTCGTAGAAAGGGCAATCCAACAAGAAATGCTCAACAGTATCAAATTCTGAACTCCGGTAAGTAGGACAGAGGCTAACAGGGTCGAAACGGTAATTTTGAAAACGGTCTGATAAAATATTGTCATTAAGAAATTATCTATATAGATGCGACATGACGGCCATTTTTTCCGTGTCACAAAATTTTGTCATGTTTCGTCACCTGATTATCCATCAGTTAATTAACTACTTCGGGATGACATGGGGTTACAGTTTCGCCAACTTTCAGATAAAATCAGAAAAGAAAATTTGGACATCTGAAATGGCGCCACCACTCAGGTGCGATATCATTCGTTCATCGATATTTATTTGTGGATCGGTAATATGACGTGTCAGTGAACGGTCACATGACCGTCATCTGACAAGTCACGAAATATGCTCGCATCTCTATTGCGAGCAGCTTCCGCCAGGGAAAATTAGTCGTTCTTGCGCACGTGGCGTGGAAATGAATGTTAATTGAGCGAAATGAGGCCAGAGTTGGTAAAATATTGTCGGCTGTTGTCACGTAAATTTGAATAAAGCCAGCGAAAACATTTTTCTATAATTTTTTTTACAATAATTATTGTTCCTTCAGCTTTCATGGTGATTTAAATTTCAGAGACGGTGACAACACTGATCCGTCAATCGGAAAACAAGACGCTCACTCTGTTCGAGCAGGTCTACCGTTCGATGTCACTGCTCAGCAGGCCATCAATCAAAGCACTTTACCAAGCAATGATCGACTACGTCTCGCCCAGCAACACTCCAGACACCCTCCAACAGCCACTCAGCCGTGAAATGCTTCAGAAACGTTTCACCGAGTTCTTCACTCGTCTCTTTCCAATAGCCTATCATCGTGCTGTTAATCCACATCAGCAAGACTTTACTGATAAATTCAAAAGTTGTCTCTACGATGCTATTGACGCGATCCAGCCGTTTGGGGATATTCCAAAACAGATATCGCGCTCAATGAGCAAGAGTTTAGAAGCCACTCGTGTGCTTGTTCAAGCGTTAACATTGGGGAAAACGGTGTTGGATAAAACAGATACCGTGCTGTTTTATGGCACTAGTCCGCAGCAAGCTGCATGCTATGAGGCACTGCTCAGGATGACATACTGTTCAAAGTGCTCGGGACACGGGTCAACAGTTCGTCCGTGCAGTGGTCTGTGCACAAACGTCATGAGGTAAAGAGGAAAATATTCCGCATTATATTCCAAAGGCTTAGCCTATTTACTAAAGATGAAAGAAACGGGGAGTTGTTTACAGGTGAAGTGACATGATTTTTTTTTTTATTTAAAGTGACATGATTTAGTAGGAATCACTTTGCTCGAACCTGAGAGATTTCATAGTTTCCTTCTCCTACATCGGGAGACGGTTATTAACTCATGCGTACCATTAGTTAATTATCTTTTTTTTTATTTCGCTTTTTTTTGCTCGAATTCGAGAGTTTTGTAAATATCCCCGATATTTTCAAATTCTTCAAATGCCAAAAAAATTTTCTCCGTCATATTTTTCATTTTTTCATGTGTGAAGTTGATCTTTATATCAAAACATATCTAAATTGCTTAATTGTTGATCATGAGAAAAAAAATAGTATTTCTAAATTTATTTAATTCACAAATTATTCTTCACTTCCCAAATTTTCATACGTAAATTCTAAACTCTACAAAATTCATGAAGATTCTTCGGTTTCCCAAGTAATTCGAGAAAAATCTTTGAAGATCTACGGTTATCTGGAAAACAGTGAAATTTTCCGAAGAATTCAAGAAATTTTTTCAGTTCTCTAGGAAATCAATTCATAACTCTCCCCTCATTTTTCAACAGTTACAGATTTCAATCAGATTATTTTAAAAAGCAAAAAAAAAATTAATCGCAGATTAAAAATAATTCATTGATGTTTCACTCTTTATTCTCTTAATTCTCTTCAAGTCGTTATCAATATTTATAAAACATCTATGAGTATGTGAAGTTTAATAAATTCGATTTCTTCATTTTCACAACGAAAATAATAATAAAAAAAAAGAAAAATGAATCAATAAATAATGTTCAAAGGGGTTGCTTGATGGAACCAGCGTCTCAATTGGATCTGGCCTGGTCTGGTTACGTAGAAACTGTCGAGAGACTCGTTGTTGCTGTTGATGGTAGAACAGATCCACTTGGTTTGAATGCCGAGAGAGCAGTCAGACAGTTGGATACTCGAATTTCTGATGCCATAATGCACGCTATGGAGAATGGTCCTACGCTCGAGGAGAAGGTGAGCCCACTCAAGTGGTCGTTTTATCTCTATCTCACACTCAATTCCACTATATGTATTACGGTTATTCGTTTTCTGCAGTACATGTGGGCACAAAACGAGGTGAACTTTAATTTCATTTTTTTTTTTCAATTCCACCCCTTTCGTTCATGAATGCCAGACAGCCTCTGTCTGCCCGGCTGTTTGGGCGGCCCGGACAAATTCAACTCTAGACAAACTCGATGAATTAATTTCTACACGCAATGGAAACAACATTCGCGACTTTTAATTAGGGGGCAAAATGAAACAGTCCAAAAATGACTGTTTGACGCAATTAAAGTAAAAAAAAATTTTGTTTCATTTTTTTTCATCAACTTTTCTTTATTATTGGCAGCACTGATGAGAATAATAATTTTCTATTCGTCTTATAGTTCAATTGATTATAATTCAGTAGTTTAAGTCGACTCAACTTCGGGTTCAGTTTTTGTTGAATAATTCGGAATTTTAGAAAGAGCGAAATTTTGGTAAAATCTTTTTCGATAGTCTTCACTCTTCTTTACAAAAAAGATTTTTAGGAAAATTTTGCTAACTCCTTTAGAATTTGAGATATTCATCGAGAACTGGGGCTAGAATGGAATTGACTTGAACCGTTTGACCACTTCACTACTAAATTCAGTTGATTAGATTAGGCCGATTACACTTTTCTTTTTTCATTCGATTGAAATTCAGCATCACATTTTCCTTTTTCCCCCTCTGGGTCTTCCTCTGGACTTTGGATTTTGCTCTTTCATTTTTTTTTCAATTAATCCATTGACAAAACTTCTCCCGTCAAAACTTCTCAATAATTCCTCATTCTGCTGAATGGAAAATGATTATTTTCATTAGTACTCGCAAGAATAAAAAACAATTGATAAACAAAAGTTAATAAAAAAAAAAATTTAACAAAGAGAAATGTTTTGACGTTAAACAGTCATTTTTCGACTGTTTCATTTTGCCCCACTTACTCCTAGAAATTGATCAATTATAAAAAATTGAGCATGATCACGCGACTGGATAACCAGAAGCTCAGTTGCATTGCAAGTGTAAGTGCAGTGAATGAGAAAAAAACGAGTAAATGAGAGATCAAGTCCAATCAAAATGGAGAAGAAAATCAACCAAAAGGAGGAGAGATTGTGAAAAAAAACGTGTTCTCCGATGGAGACTTTTTTTTTCTCCTTTTCCCTTCTCTTTATCTCCCTGTCTTTCACATACACATATACACTGAGCTTTGAGATCTGCTTGTTCGGATCCACGCCGAACTCGTTCGGCGAAGTAGGCGCCGGTTCGGCTCTTAATTAAAAGTTTCACACGGGTAGTCCCGTGTGAACGCCAACACGAATCCAACGAATAGAGCTGAAGACCATATGACTATATATGTCTTGTGTTGTGTCTAGGTGTTTTTCAACTGTTAAGGACGTTTAGCCGGTGTCGGTAAATTGTCGGTAAATGTGTTTTTTTTCGTGATCGAGGAAAATTCTGTAATTTTTTCGGTTGACAGCAAAACATATGAAATGAACTTTTCTGACGTTAAAAAAAATTAATCGCAATAGTCTCGGCAAAAAGGAATAAACTGATTTTTCCTTTTACACGGGATCTTACGACATTTATGTTCAAATTAATAATTCACCTACTAGAAGACTCTAAAAATAGAAATAAAAATAGAAGGTAATGTGTAAAATCATACTGAATGCAATGGCGAGAGAAAAATCTGGGGTAGCCGGGCAAAAAGAGGAAATATTTGAATGATTCTATCCCACATAAGCGCATGTTAGCGCATGCATTTGCTGCATTTTGTCTATTTCATTTCTAAATAATGAAAATGGGTTGGTGGATTGAAATTTGTATCAAAGTGAAGGGAATATCCTCTCTCAGTTTTTAAAAAATCAATTTCTTTTAAGTACTTGCGATTTTGGATAAACATCCTTAATCTCAATAGTCTCGGCAGAAATGAATGAACAAGGTTTTCTTTATGAACGGGATCTTATGAAATTTATGTTCAAATTGATAATTCACCTACTAGAAGACTCTAAAAATAGAAATAAAAATAGAAGGTAATGTGTAAAATCATACTGAATGCAATGGCGAGAGAAAAATCTGGGGTAGCCGGGCAAAAAGAGGAAATATTTGAATGATTCTATCCCACATAAGCGCATGTTAGCGCATGCATTTGCTGCATTTTGTCTATTTCATTTCTAAATAATGAAAATGAGTTGGTGGATTGAAATTTGTATCAAAGTGAAGGGAATATCTTCCTCTCTCAGTTTAAAAAAAATCAATTTTTTCTAAGTACTTGCGATTTTGGATAAACATCCTTAATTGCAATAGTCTCGGCAGAAATGAATGAACAAGATTTTCTTTATGAACGGGATCTTATGAAATTTATGTTCAAATTGATAATTCACCTACTAGAAGACTCTAAAAATAGAAAAAAAATAGAAGGTAATGTGTAAAATCATACTGAATCCAATGGCGAGAGAAAAATCTGGGGTAGCCGGCCAAAAAGAGGAAATATTTGAATGATTCTATCCCACATAAGCGCACGTTAGCGCATGCATTTGCTGCATTTTGTCTATTTCATTTCTAAATAATGAAAATAGGTTGGTGGATTGAAATTTGTATCAAAGTGAAGGGAATATCTTCCTCTCTCAGTTTTAAAAAAATCAATTTTTTTTAAGTACTTGCGATTTTGGATAAACATCCTTAATCTCAATAGTCTCGGCAGAAATGAATGAACAAGGTTTTCTTTATGAACGGGATCTTATGAAATTTATGTTCAAATTGATAATTCACCTACTAGAAGACTCTAAAAATAGAAATAAAAATAGAAGGTAATGTGTAAAATCATACTGAATCCAATGGCCAGAGAAAAATCTGGGATAGCCGGGCAAAAAGAGGAAATATTTGAATGATTCTATCCCACATAAGCGCACGTTAGCGCATGCATTTGCTGCATTTTGTCTATTTCATTTCTAAATAATGAAAATGGGTTGGTGGATTGAAATTTGTATCAAAGTGAAGGGAATATCCTCTCTCAGTTTTTAAAAAATCAATTTTTTTTAAGTACTTGCGATTTTGGATAAACATCCTTAATCTCAATAGTCTCGGCAGAAATGAATGAACAAGGTTTTCTTTATGAACGGGATCTTATGAAATTTATGTTCAAATTGATAATTCACCTACTAGAAGACTCTAAAAATAGAAAAAAAATAGAAGGTAATGTGTAAAATCATACTGAATCCAATGGCGAGAGAAAAATCTGGGGTAGCCGGCCAAAAAGAGGAAATATTTGAATGATTCTATCCCACATAAGCGCACGTTAGCGCATGCATTTGCTGCATTTTGTCTATTTCATTTCTAAATAATGAAAATGGGTTGGTGGATTGAAATTTGTATCAAAGTGAAGGGAATATCCTCTCTCAGTTTTTAAAAAATCAATTTTTTTTAAGTACTTGCGATTTTGGATAAACATCCTTAATCTCAATAGTCTCGGCAGAAATGAATGAACAAGGTTTTCTTTATGAACGGGATCTTATGAAATTTATGTTCAAATTGATAATTCACCTACTAGAAGACTCTAAAAATAGAAAAAAATAGAAGGTAATGTGTAAAATCATACTTAATCCAACGGCCAGAGAAAAACTTGACGTAATAGTTCACTCCGTCTGCAGTAGTCAATAATTTTATCTCCCAACTGAATCGACTGTGTGTCAAAGCGAGTCTTTCATAATTTCCAATCAATATGGTAGGTGTTATGTAGATGATGTTCAGTCATGTTCCCAATGACGCTAAAAAGAAACCGAAATGAGTACAGTTGAGGGGGCGATGAGAAGAATGCGAGAATGTTGTTCATTTCTCTTTATATTCTTTCCTCTTGTGAGGTACTACCTGTATAGAGGAATGCTCGTCGCCAAGGGGGGTCGGGCTCCCACGATCTGCCGGGGTACCCAATTCCACTAATAATTTGACGGCCACAGCGATACTGATGGAGCGCCAGTAAAGCCACAAAACTGCCAACACTCTCACCCTCTTATATTCCTTATAATTTTTGTTTCTCTCCCCGTTTCCCTTCAAACACAACATCTCTACAATGTATATGCATAAGAATGAAAAGAAAAAAAAACATAATGTTGGCGCAGAGAGAGAAAAGTGTGCGAAGAAGAATGAACGACCGAGTCCTTATGATTCCACTGGTCCCTGTAGGCGTAGGCGCATTCTGCGTACATTACGTGTCTGCATTCCGCGTGGCCTTTGGCCTTACTTGGCATCTTCTGAGGCTGGTGAACCGCCCCGAAAACCGTATCCCAGGGGATTGTTAATAGGATATCTCAGTGTGGTCCAGTTGGCTCTTTACAGTCAATCGACCAATAAAAAAAAAAAAAAAAAAAAAAAAAAAAAAAAAAAAAAAAAAAAAAAAAAAAAAAAAAAAAAAAAAAAAAAAAAAAAAAAAAAAAAAAAAAAAAAAAAAAAAAAAAAAAAAAAAAAAAAAAAAAAAAAAAAAAAAAAAAAAAAAAAAAAAAAAAAAAAAAAAAAAAAAAAAAAAAAAAAAAAAAAAAAAAAAAAAAAAAAAAAAAAAAAAAAAAAAAAAAAAAAAAAAAAAAAAAAAAAAAAAAAAAAAAAAAAAAAAAAAAAAAAAAAAAAAAAAAAAAAAAAAAAAAAAAAAAAAAAAAAAAAAAAAAAAAAAAAAAAAAAAAAAAAAAAAAAAAAAAAAAAAAAAAAAAAAAAAAAAAAAAAAAAAAAAAAAAAAAAAAAAAAAAAAAAAAAAAAAAAAAAAAAAAAAAAAAAAAAAAAAAAAAAAAAAAAAAAAAAAAAAAAAAAAAAAAAAAAAAAAAAAAAAAAAAAAAAAAAAAAAAAAAAAAAAAAAAAAAAAAAAAAAAAAAAAAAAAAAAAAAAAAAAAAAAAAAAAAAAAAAAAAAAAAAAAAAAAAAAAAAAAAAAAAAAAAAAAAAAAAAAAAAAAAAAAAAAAAAAAAAAAAAAAAAAAAAA